TGCCGTAACCGAAGGCACCGCGGGCGCCGCCAGACCCGGGGCCCCCGCAGCAGCAGAGGACGAGCCCCCAGATGCCTATGCCCAGGCAGGCTAGCAGAAGAAGAGAGCCCAACACGGCGCCGATGATCATGCCCACACGCTTGGAGTCTGTGGAGAAAGGTAGAGGCGGGTCAGACTTCTCAACCCCTGCCAAGTGCCCCATTGACTAGGAGAGGCCAAGGTGGGGGTCTGCGGGAAAGATGGACAGGAACCCAGGGAGTCTCCGGTTCTGGGACACCCAGTGAGGAAGGTGTGGGGGTACAGATTAAGCCCTGCATGCTTTCCCAGAGCTCCCAGCTGGAAGACAGCCCAGGTGCCTCCCCTCCAGCCCTCCCAGCCCAGGAGCCTTCAGGACCAGAGCACCTACCTGACACCTTCACCTCCACGACGCAAACACTGTAGCCTACGTGATTGGCCACTGTACACTGATACAGCCCATTATCTGCGCTGGAGATGTCCTTCAACACCAGGTCCCCATTGCTCAGGCCTGAAATTGGAAGACCATCAGACCAGTGTAATGAGAGAGAGCCTTGGTCTCTGAGGACCCCCACCTCAGCCCCTGTGGGGCAGGGGATGGGACACACACACACGTTCACTTCATCCCCTGCTGCTAGGACCCCTCTCCCAGGAATAAGTCAGAAACACCATGAATTCTCTCCGTGCCCTCTCTGAGCCTCCTTATTGGTACCGCAGAACAAGGTTAGATCAGAGGAACGGTGAGGTCCCTTCCAGCTCTGTTAGTCTCTGTGGATGTTACTCAGTTTCCCTCTGTGATAAAAGCATCACACATCTTATTCTGTTTAATCCTCCCATGTCCCTGAGAGGTAAATGTTGGGATTCCCTCCTTACATGTAAAGAAGTCCAGGCACAGGGTAAGCCTTGAGCCTGAGGCTTACAGCTAGCTAGGCAGTGTCCCAGCCAGGACCAAGCCCAGCTCCATCTCAAACTGAGCTCCTCCCAGATTACCACACTGATTTTGGCTGACTCCCTGATTCTGCCTTCTCCTCTTCCTTCAACAGCAGCTGCTGGGGCAGGCCCAGAGAAGGAGCCCACCACAGGGCTTCCGGTTGGAGTTGGTGCCACTGATAAGCCAGGGAAGCCCCAGCAGGTCCCAAAGTCCTCTGCACGCTGTCCCCACCAGGCCCCTCACCTTGGTTTAAGGAGCTGTGGAAGGACTCCTGGTAGGAGAGCTCAGAGTGGAAGCTGTGCTGGGAGTGGTAGGATCCTGCTCGGTAGGGGTGGATGTGCCCGCTGATCTTGGCCCACTTGTAGGAGAGCGGCTGGGAACCCCCATTGGCGAAGCATTTCAGTACCACATCATTGCCCTTTGTCATGTGGCCTTCACTCCAGCACATGGGGACTGCAGGGCGTGCTGCAGGGAGACAGGTGATGGTGAGCCAGGACCCACTCCAGAGGCAGAGGCAATCTCACAGTGGCTAGGCTGCCCTTGACCACAAAGCTAGAGGAAGGGGCCCCTAGAGAGTCTGGCCATACCTTGGACAGTGACAATGACCTTCCGGGTGGCCATGGTGGTCTTCTTCACCCGGCACTCATAGGTGGCTGTGTCGGATACCTGCAGGTTCATGAGGTTGATGGAGGCATCATACTGGCTGGGGTCTGCAGCTGCAAAGCGGACCCTCTGTTGCAAATGGGGGAGGTTGCCATGGTTGATTCTCTTGTCCTGGTAACTAAGGAACTGTGAAGAAGAGAGGAAAAGAGGTTGTGAGAAAGGTGGAACCAAGGAGGGCCTGTGCTTGGCTGCTTTGGGCAATTCACTTAACTTCTCTGAGACTCTGTTTTATTTTTTATTTTTTGAAAATGGGAATGATGATGCCTGACCCAGTGACTCTTAGAGAATGGTGAAATCAGACGAGATGAAGCACTTTGGAAAGTATCAGGTTAGGCTGAGAACTTGAGGGCAGGTGCCATGTCTGATCATCCCTTTGGAATGAGGTAGGAGGAGGTAGACTGAATGGCTGGCTAGATTCCCAGTTGCACAGCTCTCTTCCCTAATATCCCATTTCCCTGAGAGGCACTGGGGGAAATTCATGGCCGTGGCTTTGCTGCTTGCCCTCCTTTTCCTCTCAGGATGTTGGCTGCGCAATGAAGTACAGACTAGAGAGAACCCTGTGCCTGGCACTCACCACATTCTCTCTATGTGAGGGGTCCGAGTTGACCTGCATCCATTCGATGTCCAGCCCATTGGGACCATAGTCCTCAGGGTCCAAGATGTAGGGGCAGCCCAGCCTCACATTATCACCTTCTGCCAGGTACAGGACTTCCTGGCCATCCCCGTTGATCCTTACAGCAGACAGCAGTGCTGGGGAAGGCAAAGCAGGTGAGGGGAGGCGAGCAGGCCAGAGGTTCAGTAGTCAGCTTCAGCCTCTCCTCCCACCATTTCTTTCTCAGTTGTCACCCAGGGCTCGGTAGGGCTTCCATAGGGAGAAGGAGCTGCTCCTACAGGTGTGTGTGTGTGTGTGTGTGTGTGTGGTGCTTGTGTGTGTGGTGTGACCAGGTATGGACACATCTGTGCATACTGGCATAGCTTGCTTATTCATGTGGCAGTGTTACAGATCCGTGTATTTATTCTGTGTGTGGGTGTGCAGTGAATATAGCTGTTACGTTTGCATGTATGTATACACAGAATCATGTATACATAAAATACATAGCCATGTGTACATTGTGTGCTGATGAGCTCCAAGGACATGCGTCCATGTGACCATGTGGGATACCTGCGTATGTATCTGCATGACAGTGTGGGTGCTCTGTTATGTGTCTGCATTTGCATTTGTGTGGAGGCTTGTGGAATGCCCACAGTGTTAAGTGCTCTGATGGAAGCTGGCTGGTTAAAAGCCACCTGTCTTGGCTGTGTCTGAGCCTTGTCTGGGCCAAGTGAGGTGCTCATGGCCAGAAGCAGAAAGGTGGATAGGACTTTTCCCAGCCTGAGAAGTGAGAGACTGGATGCATCTGTCCTTGTAGGTCTGGGTATGACTGTGTCTGTGTCTGTGGACTTCTGGGTGGTGTGTGACAGTGTGTGCCCGGCAGTGTGGATGCCCTAAGTGACAGCGCGAGTTGGAGCCTGGCCGTGCTGTCTCTCTCATGATAGTGAGTGGTGATGTGTGCCTCGGGCCATGGCACCTTGCATCTGCAGGACAAGCCTGGCACGGTGATGTGTGGTGTTGCAGACTGCGTCCTTCCCGTTGTTGCTCAGGTACAGCTGCTCCTACACTGGGGCCCTGCCTGCCACTGAGTCAGAGACAAGCAGCCAGGGTTAGGAGCCAGGATCTGGAAGCTCAGAGTTGAACTCCTCTCCCTCCCTATCACAAAGCCCCAGGCAAACACTAGCCCAAACCGGTTTGACCTAGAGAGGGATAAAGGGGGTGTTGTGCACAGGGACCCACCCTGAGGACTCAGCAGCACCCTGCCTACCTCCACATCTCCAGCAGTGCCCCCTCCTCAGGCCCCTTGCCCAGCTCGCCAGCTTTCCAAGTCCAGACTTTGTAAGTCCCCGTGGCCTTCAGAGTCCCAGCCCCAAGTCTTAGCGATCCTGCTGTTTCTTACTTCCTTGGCTCAGGATCACTTGCGCACCTCAAGACCATCTCACACATGCAATTTCAGTGTCACCCGCAAGATACATCAAGCCGTCAGAATGCAGATATATTCCTATGCAGTCCCCCTTCTTACATACATGGATACTCTCCGGTCTGTACCGACACAATACACATTTGCAGGCAAACACAGCCCTTGTTAATCCAGAGACACACCCAACGCACGCTCTTATGGTTTCACGTGTATTCATTCAAGACCAGGCATATCTACAGACGCCATACCTGCCAGGGGTAGCCCGGCTCCAGAGAGGCAAACAAGGGCCTTTCCAGTTCCTCAGGGATCCCTGAACTTGCCCTTTGGAACCCTGGCTGTTGGCATCAGTGGTGCCCTAATCCAGCTAGACTGCGGAGACCAGAGCAGGCAGGCCGCTGCTGGCTGCTGAGGCTCTAACGGGACCTAGTGAAGCCACCTCCAGCCCTGGGCCAAGAGAACACCAGCTCATTCCTGAGATAAGGATCCTGATGCTATCCGCCAGATCCTGGGGCGGTACACGGGAGACCAAGCATGAGCCAGAACTCAGGTGCCAGAGAGTAGAGGCCCCGCCCTGGGGCAGAGCCACTGCGAGCAGCTGGCACGGGCTTCTTTCCACACACCATGGAGGCCAGGCAGGCAGGAGGGTAAGTATTCAGGGAGAGGGGCTTGAGCAGGAGGGACAGGCTGTGCCTCCACCCTGCACTGAGTGCCTTTCAATTGTCCCAGCCTCACCCCGTCTTCTCATTCTCCTTAGAAGTGTTCTCAGCCTCCTCCCAAGGATTCCAGCCTTTTTCGCCTCCTCCCTCTCCTTAGGAAGCTGCTCCTGTAGTGTCACCATGCTTCCTTTTGCTGTGACACAGAGGAGGTGCTTTCTGGAACCAGGGGATGTGAGGGAAGAGGGAAGCCGGAGAAAGGAATAAAGCCACCGCGGAAGACAAAGCTAGGTGCTGAGAACGGGGGAGTCACATGGCGCTGTCCAAGGAAGACAGGGTCCATGGTCTCCCCACAAAACCACCAGGTGCTGGGCCCTGTCTAAGGGGTGTCCCCTCAATAATAGTAGCTACTTTCAACTGTAAATTCTTTTTGAATTTTCAAGCAGTTTCCAGACAGGGGAAGGGAAGACAGGAGAGAAAAAGGAGTCGTACAGCCGGGTGCATACACACAATCAGGGACACACATGGAGATGTCCCGGCTCCCGAGAGCACAGCCAGGCAGCCTGGGTGGGCTCTGCCGGCCCGATTCACATGACACAAAGTGTTGCAGGCATCCTGCCAGAAATGCCATCAGTCACACACACACTGACCAGTCCCCTTCCCACACTCCTTCATCCCAAATCCAGACCCCAGGAGCAGCACAGAGCTATTTCAATGATATACAACAGCAGGCCCTTGCTGGGACTTGCCCGACCTGGGCAGGGCGACACAGTGTCCAAACCTGCATCTGCCCTCCAGGAGTACCCTGGAGGGGTGAGGAGGCTCTGGGAGTTACCTTCTACCCCCTTCCTCTTCCGTCCTCATGCTGGAGGGGCACAAGCCCAGAGCTCTCACGGCCTGGGGACCCACAGTGGAGGTCTCAGGCCTGGGCTGTCGCCTTTCATGATGGTCGCCCACTGAGACTCAGCCTCTCAAGACACACAACTCCTCTACCCCTGCCTGGTACTCCGGCCTTGGAAAGCAGCCCCTCCCACTCTGAATGGCAATCAGACTGTCTTGATGGAAACTGGTCCTTCCCAGGCTCCTCCTCAGCCCCCACCCAGAACTGCAGCTCACCTGACTCCTACCCCACCTCCAGCTCCCACAGGTAGCTGAGTAAGCCCTGCCCCCCAAGTCCCAGCATGGGCACAGCAAACAGGGCACCTGCACACATGTGTGAGCCCCACAGGCTCTCCGACGGTAGGAGGATCCACTCTGAGACTCTGCACACAGACGATGCCCCGGGCCTCCAGGCAGCATCCAAACCAGGGTGGAGGTGGAGTGAGGGTGGGCAGGCACACAGTGAGCCCTGGCTGCCTTTTTCCCTGCCCACTGCCCGGCCCCATACCTGGGCTCAGGCACATGAGCAGAAGATGGAACATTCCTCCGACTCCCATGTCTCTGGGCTCGGTGTCACCTCCGTCTGGGCTGGGCTCCTGTGGGCAGGTGGTGGTGGTGGTGGTGGTGGTGGGTGG